AAAGTGCAATTGAGTCACAAAACTTTCAAAAAGTGCAATCAAGTCCTAAAACTTATCAAATTGATCCAATTAATTCCTTTCGTTGATAACACTTTTTGAAATTTTTAGAACTCGATTGCACTTTCGTGACAAGTTTTAGGATTTGATTACACTCTTTAAAAGTTTTAGGACTCGATTATACTTTCGTGACAAGTTTTAAGGCTTGATTGCACTTTTTTAAAGTTTTAGGATTCAATTATATTTTCTTTACAAGTTTTATGATTTCCAATTAGAGCTCACAAAATGAGTCGACCCATATTTGCAACTCATATATAATGGGATCCAACTAAAATGGATAACTCATTTAGCAAAAAGTGGGTCAATCAAAAAATAAGGTCCGTCAAAATGGGTCATGATGGGATGTTTACATAACCCATATTTAACACCTAGTCACCGGCCGGTGGGAGGTCGTCGGTCACTGCCGGCTGCCGCCGGTTGTCAGTCGCTGCTCCGCGTCCGCCACCAGTCGTCAGTCGCCGTCAGTTACCACCAGTCGTCGGACACCGTCGATCACCGGACGCCGCGTCCACCACCAGTCTTCAGTTGTCGCCATCGCCGGTCGTTGGTCATCGGCAATCAATGCTGTCCGCCGATCGCCAGACATAGCAAAAAAAATAAAATAAATATAAAAAATCAGAATTTTATTAAAATATTATTAAAATTGTCCATAGAGTTTTAGAAATATATTTTTTTCAAAAATTATAAGAAACTAGTTTTTCTAAATTTGATTAATATTTGAAGTATTTTATTTATATGGGTCGGGTCTGGTATGTGTTGAGTAGGGTATGGGTCCCTAAAATTGTATTATATGGAAATTGGTCAAAACAGGTTAAATAGGTTGATATGGGTCGGACCATTTTTTATCCGACCCACCCATTTGACAAGTCTACTTTTAGTGCACTTATCCTTTTAATTATTATTTTATCTACAAGATCATATGACAACATTGTAATACATAAAAGCATTGAGAAACACGCAAGCAGTCCGGCGAAGTTGAGATGACGAACTTCCTAATTTGTTGACTTTTGGGTTTTCAGTTGTACTTATCAGGATTTGACTCAAACCGAACTTTCTATAAAGAATTTGAGATCTTTACGATGATCCTTATGTCCAAAATTTCTTTTAATTTTTTAGGTAAGGAATTATTACAAAAACATTTATTTAAATGGTATATAATTAAAAAAAATTCTTGCCCAGACTAACCTCAATAGTTGAGTGCGCCATTATTTGCCTCACATTACTAATTATTGATTGGGTTTATGTATTGTCCTTTGTACAAGGGCTTTTTTTTACCTGTTTTTTTTTTTTGGTTTTTGATATTTTAAAGTTGTGGGTTTAACTCTCGGACAATAATTATTATGTTGAAGCATTGTTTGCTGTCACTTGCACCGAAAAACATTAGTAAAAGTGCAGCCTATTTTCGAGTTTGTTATTGACGGATCTTGGATTTGGATCGATATAACTTTGCTTATTACAATAATTATTCAATTTGGAGGAAAAAGCCTTGTTTTCCCATTCAAGGGGAGGCTGTTTGGTTAATTACAAGAGTTATGTCGCTTCTGAAATTGATCGCTATAGGTAAATTTCTTTTTAAAGAAAAGGGAAAATGACATAAATGGTCCCTGAACTTTGGCCCAATGTGCAATTTAGTCCATAAACTTTTAATCTGTTCAATGTGGTCCATAAACTTTAGTCCAATATGCAATGTGATCCCTAAAGGATAACATTAAACATTTTCATATAATATAGGGATTAACTTGAACATGTATTAAAAGTCTATGGATCACATTGAACAAATTAATAGTTTAGGTATTCTCATTAATTTTATTATTTTAGATATTCTGATTTTTTATTGACATCATCTATGGGCCTTTATACTTATGGAAATCTATGCTGAGGTAGAATTTTCTATTCTAAAAAAATTATCATTGAACTATGATTGAAGGCAACATTAATTGAATATTTTAGTAGGGAAGTCTTTTTCTTTTTGTTGAAGAGAGTCTTAAATTGTTGTATGACTATGACAGATAGGCATCAAGAAAACAAATATTTCTCTTGTCCAATTACTTAATTTAAACTCCTATAAAAAAAAATTTAGAACAAAATATCAAAATTTTTTTGGTCAATAAAACCCACTTCATTCATTAAACATTGCAATTGAAACATAGATTTTGAGTTCCTGAACATAAAAAAATCCCATAAAAGCTGGGGTGGTTTTTAAGACCCAATTAGGAGGAAGGGCCTTCTTGCGTCGGGTTTTTGCTAATCAGTCTGTTGCCTGATTTGCCTCTCGTGAGAAATGGGCTACTTCAATGGACTTGAGCTGAGCCGAGCTTTTCCTACGGTCTTCAATTACAGGCTGCGTGTCCCATGGGCTCGGACAAGGGCCCGAGACACAATGGAAAACTTATAGGCTATCAGTTGCTATCACCACACTCAGATCAGGTTCTCTCCACAGATCACAGTGGTTTTCCAAGTGCACGATGGCTTCTTTGAGTGCTAGGGCTTCTTTGAGTATGCATCCGTTAATGACTCTTAACTCCTTAGTTCGTTAATGACTTTTGCCCCCCTCAAGTTAAATTCTGGCTCCGTCACTTAGGATAATGGAGGCCGATGTGACAAAATCGTTGCCAATATTGAGTTTCATCGGAAGACAAAAACAGCATGGGTTGAACTTTTAAAAGACGATTACATGGATAATCTTTGTCTTATGTAATATTCAATTAGCGGCAATGTCTGCGAAACTCTTGCCAACAGCAGGACAAGCTTGCCGACTTATTTATTAGCATGTGCCTTAAACAATCCTGTTTTTCTCTGATCCGAAATCACGCGTAAGAAGCCACAATAATCAGCAATATCTGTCCAAATCTTTCCGCACATGCATGAATTTGGTAATCCATCAAATCGTGTTGGCTTGCTGTTTCTAGGATTAAATGCTGATTAAATGCTTTTCCCTGTGAGGATCATTCATAAGCAAAGCTAAAGCGTTCCGAATCGGTACAGCACCCCCAATATTTTAAAATCTTCTATCTCCAACCGGAAAGATCGGGCATGAGTGAGAAAATTTTGTATAGAGTTTTGATATGTCTCAAATTTGAGCCCATTCAACAAAACCAACCATTCAACAAAACCAACTCACTCTCCGTAGAGGAGCTTCCATCCCTATCCCAATGGTGATAGTCCTCCCTCAAACCCTAAACTGGCCATTCCCCCTTTCAATCCCGCTTATCTCCAAATCACTTGTGGGTAATCCCACTCTCTCCTCTCCCCCACTACTCCTGTCCGTAAAAATCCCCTCTTTAGTCATGCCCTAATCAAGCTTCCCCTTCCCAATGTCAACGCTTTCCTTCGAGGAGTGGAAAGCTCTGACTTGGTTCCTGCCTCCTTGCGTACGGTAGGCTACCACTCCAAGAAGAAGGACCATGGTGATTTTAGGTTCGGTGAGCATCCCTTTTTCCGTATAGACAACCACCCTTCTTTCTCTACCACTTCCCCTGTAAATCGAGTCACTCACCGACCGCGACCCCCAGGTTCCCGGTCATCCCCAACCATCCTTTCCACCTCCCATCCCTTTCCCTATTTAGCAACGGGAAGCGTTCTCAACCCAGGGGGAGAAATAGCGCTTTCTCAACACTTTCATCTCTGAGACAGAAGGTGCAGAAGCCAGCGCCTAAAGTAGTTCAATCACAAGTCCAGTTAAGTTTTTTGCATTACAGGAAACTCAAAGCACGTTCGTGCCGCTACCTCTAGAAGAGTAGCTTAGTCTTGCTCAAAGAAATGGGAATCGTTTTGGTGTTTGACGGCAAGAGCCTCTCTCAGAACAGGATAGTGTAGGACACCTTTCTCTAGAATCTATGGACAAGGAAGATGATAATGTAGCTCGGGTGGCTGCCCTGTGTAGAGAACTGGGAAACCTCTAGTCAGTAGATGACCTTGTGCTGCTAAAAGGCAACATCCCTGTAGAAAAACAAAAAGAATGCGCATTAACATTGTATGGGAAATTGTACTCGAAACCAAATGTCAATTTTCAAGCTTTCCTTAACACAATGAAGAGATCATGGAAAATGGACCAAACAGATTGTGAGCTCATTGAACCGGGATTTTTCTCCTTTTCCTTTACTTCTTTAGAGGAAAAACAGAGAATTTTGGATTCAGGCCCTTGGTCCTTTTCGAGTAACTTACTTGTCCTCCAACAAGGTCATCCGGATACCCCCGACCATTGCTACGAATTCACGCACTGCGCCTTTTGGGTTCAACTAGCAGGTATCCCCCGAGGAAGGTTAACAGAAGATGTGGCTCGGGAAGTGGCAAGGAAAATCGGCAAAGTGTTAGAAGTGAAACTAGACTCAAGAGGAGGAGGCCCTAATAAAAGCTGTAAAGCAAGAGTACTTTTGAATCTGTCCACTCCCTTAAAGACAGGCACCTTAGTAGACTTGGAACATAAGAAAATTTGGGTGGACTTTAGATACGAGAGACTCCCGCACTTCTGCTATTCGTGCGGAAGGATAGGGCACTATGCGTCCTACTGCAAGGAAGTTCCCTTTGAAGAATCAGGCCTCAATGCAAACAATAGGGGCAAATTTGGGCAATGGTTGAGAGCGGAAGTACGAGAACCTAGCCCCTTTTGGAAGATCTTCTACGGCAAGAATATCCCTATCCCTGAGGAAGAAGAGGTAGTTCCGGAAACTCAAAGGGAACTCATCCCTAGAGAGCTAGCACTATCTACATCAAAAGGCAAGGATGTTATTGGGCTGATTGAAGACATACCTCGGGAGGAGAGTTCAAACGAGAGAAATCAACCAGCTGGATTGTCTGGAGATAATCAAATTGATTGCACAAACCAAGATTCCCAGATGTTTATGTCAGGGTCGACAAAGAAGGGTGGAATTCCGAAGCATCCTAGAAAGGTGAACATAGGAACGAAATCCTTCAAGAAAGTGGCAGCATCAAGGAAAGAGAAAAAAATCAACCCGCAAGGAATATGTCAGATCCTCTACCCCTCCATTAATGAGAAGACACTCCTCGATGCTCCAATCAAGGTGGTAGATGGAAGAAATGACTGGGCTCTGGTGGCTAGCCCTAATAAGCCACCGGGGATTATATGAAACTTTTGAGCTGGAACTGTCAGGGGCTGGGCAATCCCCTGACAGTCCAGCATCTCAGAGCCTTAGTAGCTCAAGAAAGGCCTGATTTAGTCTTCCTGATGGAAACTAAAAATAAGAGAACAGTTGTTGACAGAGTGAAGAGGAGAACCAATTTCCAAAATATAGAGATTATCGACCCCGTAGGAATTGCAGGGGGTCTAGCAGTGATGTGGAATGAAGAGGTGACGGTGATTGTGGAAGATTCCTCTAGAGAAGTTATTAACTTGCTATGCAGGGATCAAGAAAGTGGAACTCTCATGCGCATCACCTTTCTGTATGCCCCCACAAGCTTCCAGGAAAGGCTCAGGCTGTGGAGCCATTTAGAGGTGATAAGCGCAGCTAATCTCCTCCCTTGGATATGTGTTGGGGACTTTAATGAGATATTGTACCATTGGGAAAAATCAGGGGGTAATGGAGCGGACCACTACAGGCTAGTAGCATTTCAAGATTGCTTAAACAGATGTTCACTCATGGATATTGAAAACAGGGGTTGTGCATTCACTTGGGCCAACAACAGGGAAGGAAGAGCACTGGTGCAGGAAAGGCTAGATAGAGCCCTTTGTAATATAAACTGGAGAGTGAGTTTCCCAAATGCGGAAGCCTTTGCACTGCCTGCAATAGGGTCTGACCATAGTCCAATTTTGCTATCCCTCCAACCAAACAGGATTAAAAGGAAAAAAGAATTCAAGTTCGAGGCGTTTTAGCTGGCCGATTCGGAGTGTAAGGAGTTGGTGGAAGAAGTTTGGGGTGAACTAGAAGGCAATCCAATACCGTTCGCTAGAAAATTGAAAAAGACCACTGAAGCTCTAAAATTATGGAGTAAGCAGAAATTCTCCAATGCCCACAACCAGATCGAGATCCTAAAAAGAAGACTTACGATCCTTACAAATTCAGGAAATGGAGGCACAAGCAGAAAAGAAATGCAGCAAATCAAAGTGCAAATACAGAATTTATGGAAACAAGAAGAGCAATATTGGAGTATGCGATCTCGCATTAATTGGATTAAGTGGGGAGATAAAAACACGAAATATTTCCATGCAGCTACGGTCCAAAGAAGACAAAGGAACAAAATTTCAATGCTGAAAATTGATGATACTTGGTGTAGACACCCCAAAGTTATTAGCCAGCACATTGCCAGTTATTACGATTCCTTGTTCAAGACAGTGGGTACCAGGAACTTCAATCCAATACTAGACCAATGTTCCTTTCCTGGCCAAGAAGAAATGAATGAGGCTTTGATGGCACCGGTCACCTTAGAAGAAGTAAAACAAGCTACATTTCAGCAAGGAGCTACAAAGGCCCCGGGACCTGACGGGATGAATGGCCTATTTTACCAGCATCATTGGGAGGAATTACAGCACGATTTACACGGACTAGTCAGCTCCTTCTTCCAATCAGGACACCTTGACCCAGAGCTTAACCAAACACACATCGCGATTATCCCTAAAGTAACAATCCCAGAAAGCATCACACAATTCAGACCTATCAGCCTATGCAACTTCAGCTACAAGATCATCTCTAAGGTTATGGCGAACCGACTTAAGCCCTGGCTACCAAATCTCATAGCAATAGAACAGAGCGCCTTTATGAGCGGGAGACAGATTCAAGATAATATTTTTATAGTCCAGGAAATCCTTCATCAGCTAAGAGTTCGGGAGAGAAAAAAGAAGTTCTAGGCGATCCTAAAGTTGGACATGCAAAAAGCTTACGACAGAGTTGAGTGGGACTTCCTTTGTGCTAGCTTGAAGAAAATGGGCTTCTGCAAAGAGTGGGTGTCGTTGGTGAAAGAGTGTATCTCTTCTGTCACATTCAGTGTAAAAGTGAACGGAGAACCTTTAAAGTACTTCCAACCTTCTCGGGGAATTAGACAAGGAGACCCACTATCTCCTTACTTGTTTATAATTATGGCGAACATGCTATCGTCCCTACTAAGAAAGGCTATAGAGGATGGGAGTTTGAAAGATATCAAACTAAACAGGAACTGCCCTACTCTGTCACACCTGTTATTCGCTGACGATGACATCTTCTTCCTGGATGGCAATATAGGTGAATGTCAAAACCTGGCCAATATCCTAAACCAATACTGTTTCGCATCGGGACAAGCAATCAATCTAAACAAATCCGGGATCTTCTGTAGCGCGGGCTGCCCTCAAAACCTTAAAAGCAACATGGCGTCCGAACTAAGAGTACCAATCATGGAGAAAACTAGGAAATATCTTGGCATTCCATCATATTGGGGACAAACAAAAAAACAGATGTTCGCATGGATACTAGCAAGGGTAAACATGAAGTTGGAAGGCTGGAAGGAAAAGCTGCTCTCAAAGGCGGGCAAGGAGATTTTAATCAAAACAGTGGTACAAGCTCTTCCCCAATATGCAATGTCCATATTCAAAATCCCCATTTCGGTGTGAAAGGCAATTGAGCAGAAAATAGCCTCCTTTTGGTGGAAACAGAACTCATCTAAAGCGGGTATCCACCGGAAAAAATGGGAACTTCTCAAAGAAAGGAAAATAGATGGTGGATTGGGCTTTAAGGATCTAGTTACTTATAACAAAGCCATGCTAGGAAAGCAAGCATGGAGACTTGTTCAAGATCCGACAGCATTGTGGAGCCAGCTACTTAAAGGTATTTACTTCCCCAACGGAAATCTATGGAAAGCCACAAAGGGATCCCGCCCCTCATGGGGGTGGCAAAGTTTACTAATGGGAAGAGATGCCTTAAGCCCAGAAGTGAAATGGCGGGTTGGGAATGGAGATTGCATTAACATCAAAGAGGATATATGGCTGGAACGGGGATTAATAGGTGGCCCAGCAAACCGAGATGACCCACAAAAAGTCGCAGAACTGATCAACCAGGAGACAAAAACATGGGATGTTAATCAGTTACAAAGGATGTTTCAAGGGGAAATTGAGAGCGAAATTATGGCCATACGTTTAAAGCCAATCCCGGACAATGATAGACAAATTTGGACAGGAAACTCATCAGGGGAATATTCGGTAAAACAGGGTTACTCCAACCTACGAGCTGTGTCAACCAAGCTAAATACAGATCTAGCGTCCTCCTCTTATTAGCAGCCCCGCTGACTATGGACAAAGATATGGAAACTACAAAACGAGCCAAAAATCCGCTTCTTCCTGTGGTGTGTATGTCACAATGCTCTGCCTACATAAGAAAATCTATACAAAAGAAAGGCCTTACCCGACCCTTTATGCCCAATTTGTTGGGAAAACCCAGAAACAACAGAACACATATTCACCCATTGCAGCTGGACAAACAACATCTGGTCAGATCCGAGGCTTCGAGTGGACGTATCACCAGCAAATTTATCAAGAATGGATAAATGGTTAGACGAATCCCTTACCAATATCACAGAACAGTCCGGCCGAGAGGTGCTGGCAGGAATTCTCTAGCAAATCTGGAAGGCAAGGAACGCCTAGGTTTTCCATCAAATCAGCCCAAGATCGGGAGCAATCGTTGATGAAGCAATTAATCTAAACGGTAACTACCGGGAGCAAAACTTACCTGTGTCGTGGAGCTGGCGGGTGAAATCCAAGACAGCGCGATGGACGTGCCCAGAATATGGAAGCTGGAAATTTAACGTAGATGGATCATGGATCGAAGGGGAAATAGAGGGATCAGTGGCTGGGGTATGCAGGGATCACAAAGGTTTGTGTACTGTGGGGTTTGCTAGAGCTGCGTCTGCTTCCTCCCCGCTGGAAATTGAAGCTGTAGCAGTGAAGGAAGCTCTGCGCTGTCTAGGAGAAGAGGTAGCGACGAAGAACAATCCAGAGTTGGAAGTCTGCGTTCAGTCAAACAACGCAACTACTGTAAAATACACTCATGACCCAGCTTTGAGCCCATGGGCTTTGAGGAGTCTGTTTGAGGAATGTAACAAGTTACTCTCCCAATTAAAGAGGATTTCTCTAGTCCACTGTCCGCGTGAGACCAATCAAGTAGTAGATTGGATCGCCAAAAATCATCGAAAAGGGATGCTTCCATCCAATTGGGTGTCTAGACCGCCCCAATCTCTTTGGGATTTATTTTGTATTGACGTTAGTCATCTTCACTCTTGTAATCCGTAGTTGAATGAATGAATGGAAATCTGCATTTCGACCAAAAAAAAAAAAACAAAACCAACTCAAATTGAAGTGTGTGAAGTCCCGGCCGATGTAGCACAAGTCCGAAGGGACTTGGTTATCCATACTCTAAAGCAAATAGAGAAAAAAAAAACATGGCAATTAATATTCTTTTTTGAGTTCGCAAGGGTTCTCACGGTTTTATATATAAGGACAAATGACATAAATAGTCCCTAAATTTTGGCCAAATATGGAATGTTATCCTTGAACTATTAATTCATTTAATACAGTTATTGAATTATTCTTAAATGTTCAATCATGTCTCTAAACTTTCAATTTGATCAATTTGATCAATTTAATACTTCAACTTCCCATAATAAAGTCAAATAAGTCATTCGATACTATTCACAAATTTTCATAATTACACTTTTGCCCATATTTTAGAATATTTTTTCATTTCAATCCATTCCCAAAATCAACAAGAATATGCTATCTTTTTATTACCTTTTTTATCTTTTTGGTCGTTGTAAATATTTCTATAGTTACATTTAGGTAGATTTTAAGTTATGATCTCTATAAAGTAAGAATAACCCATTTAGATTTGTATCGTATACATATTCCTTTTTATTTTAATACTAAATATATTCATAACAAGATTTACTAACAATACTAATTCATCTATATATTTGTCGTGCTTTTATTAATCTAAATATTGTTCTTAATTTTTTAGATAGGCAAAATTTTCAAGTTTTTGAGTTTCCAATTTTCTCAATTAATATAGATCTATATTAGGAAATTAAAATAGCAAGATTATCAACCCAATGCAACCGTCACGCCTCGAACCCCGTGAGCGCGCAACATGCCACAACGGTCGTTATGATACGATGTCCCAGGACTCGTCACTGACCCTTACATTTTATCTTTTAATTACGCATGCGGAAGCTATAACAACAATCCCCAGACAACAACGGTAACCAGGGATAGGAAGGAAAACCACTAACAACAATCAAACGAAACACCACATTAATAAATACTTGATTAACCCCTGGGAAACATTTTCTTTACAAGCCCACTTCGGGCATTTCCACAAAAAGCTTACAAAAAGATACTAGGCTGGGGTCAATCTACTTTACCATCAGCAGGTCAGTCCAAAAAGATGGGTTGTCCTAACCCATCACCAGCCCTCATGTAGTCCCGGTGGCGACTCTGGATCAGATACTATGTAATCTGGCTCGGGGTCCAAATCCTCCGAACTCGAATCAGACGGACTGGTGTCCGGATCGATCACCTCCCCATCCGGGGTATCGAGTTTCATGGAATCCCACAAAACCTCCTCGGTACCACCTCCTAATGGTCCATCAAAGCCACGGATTGGGCAAAAAATTTCATCACCCTCCCGAATATACCACGCTACATACTCGTGAGCCTGCCAAGCGCCTAGACCTACATCTACCCAAACAGTGGACACGAGCTTCCGATAAGCTCTGTCCAGACCTAGCGGATACTCTCTATACTCCAAATCTATGTCCATCGAGACTCCAAAACGTACGGGCAGGCGATTCATGCTCGAGGGTATGAAATGTTTAATAAAACAACAATGAGATAAACATCTCAATAAGTTAATGACATAAACCCCCGTTTAGAAGGCCAACTCGCCTCGGGGTTCCTAGTCAGGCAACCACACATCATATACGGGTCAATCACATGCCAAATAACAATCACAACCATCCTTACCTTGCCTTGGCACACGTGACATGCATGACATCAGTCAACAAACATCACAACAATGCATACAGCATAACACATACTCGGAACACATAAAGAGATTTCCCATGCATCATGCATCCACACTCATGCGTGTCTCGATTATAAGGTAAAACTACTTGGGCACGTCCCATATCATGCCTAACAGTATTCACCCCATAATCAAACGCTATGCAACATTCGTGTTCCAATTATTACGACCCTTCTGGGCCACTACACATCAAGCGATAAGCAGCGAGATAGTAGTCTTCTGGCATAACCGGGCATCGTCCCGCCTCATTGGGCACGGCAATGTCAAACGATACACAGGATGACGACATTCCAATACGGCAACATCAAACAATACACAGTAAGATGGTATCCCATAAGAAGTATCGAATCCGTCATCGGGCTGCGATTCGACATCTAGAGTATCGGCAATCCAGATAATCTCCAGGCATCCGATAAATCGAGCGCGATACACAGCAGACCTCGACAAACCGGGCATTGTCAAGCGATACACAGCGAGATAGCTCCGACATGTGATCACACGAGCACACGAGCATTCAAGCAAATTCTTATCTTTTCAATTAGCCCATGCAAACATGGACCGTGCTCGAATCAATGCCACATACAATTTCACGTGATCACATATGCAAATAATCGCTCAACTTTGCAAAAACATCATTTCAAAACATCATTTACCTTTTCAAGGCATCAAATTCCTTTCTCAAACATAATTATAAAAACGATTTATTTTCAAAGATTCAAAATCTTTTATTGAAAATAAACGTTCAAATCATTTGGCCATATACGCTAATTCGTACGGCGAAATCCAAAGTTGGCATCACAATTCAAACATAAAACGATCTCAATTTGGTATTAAAAATCATTTGAAAATATTAACATTTAATTCTCGAAAATAAAATATTTATTTATTTATTTTCAAATAATAAAATTTTAATATTTTATTCCGAAAATTAATTTATTCAATAAAAGAAATATTAATATTAAAATAATCGATAACTTATCACCGAAATTAACGATAACTTACCGTCCATATATTGATAGCCTATCACGTAAATAGTAATAGCCTATCGCTCAATTACCGATAACTAATCAATCAATTCTCGATAATCTATTGCCAAATTCATCGATAACCTATCACCAATTTCCAACGATAACTTATCCATCCAACAATAACCTATCATCCATGATTATCAAATAATTCACCGATAACTTATCCACTAATCTTACTTACACAATCATTAATTTAATCTAAACATAATTTAAACTACCTTAAGCAAGTTTAACACCCTAAACACGAGATTAGGGATTAACTTACTCGTCTAACGATAGCGATTACACGAGAACGACGGCGGCAACGTGGGCTATCCGCAGTAGCTTCTGAATCGGCACGGTGAGTGGTGGACAGGCGGCGAACGGAAGCGACGAAAGGAGCAGCTACTGGTGGCTGGTTGGTGGCTACTCGGAGGCTGTTCTAGGCATGAACGGCGGCTGGTGGCGGCAACTAGGCTGCCTGGCCAATGGCGGACCAAAAACTGCAGCGGCGGACGCATTCGGCGAGCGTGACCGGCGGTGGATGGGTGCAACAGAGGGGCGGTGGCTGGTGGCAATTTTGTGACAACTCGAAAGCTAAGTCGGGGACGAAATGGTGGCTGGTGATGGCGTCTTGGCAGTTGGGACGGTGGCAGACAAGCGGCTCTATCGACGGGTGCAACCGACAAGCGGCAAGGCTGGCATCCAGTAGAAACCAGCCGTCGACGGGCGGCTGTAGGGCACGGCTGGGCGGTGCTGCTCGGCCAAAGGAGAAGCTGGGATGGCTGTGGTGCGGTGGCAGGGTGGAGTGGTGCTCGGCGAAATGGGCTGGTCGGCGTGCAGCAAGAAGAAGCCGAGAAGAAGCAGAAGAAGCAATGATGAGGGTTGGTGGAGTCGATGGGGAAGTCAGCTGAAGATGGGGGAAGGAGAGAGAGAGAGAGAGAGAGAGAGAGAGAGAGAGAGAGAGAGAGAGAGAGAGAGAGAAGGTGGCCCAAATGATTATCTCCAAAATATCTTCCAAAATTTCTTTTGTAATTTTCTCAAATTTTGTCCCCCAAATTACCACTTTGTCCTCGACCCGAGTACTGATTGTGGGCCTATAATTCTTGTCGGGCCTTGATGGCCGGCCCCCTTGGGTGTGAGGTCCAACGGGCTTCGCTCGCCCCACTTCTGTTTCTCACGTCAAATTTTCGATTCTTTGATTCTTTTTCCGAAGTTAAAATTTTCAAAGGCAACTCGTAAAAATTAGGAGGCGACGTCCTAAGGTTCGGGTGTGAAATCCTTGAACATTCGATGCTCAAAATCGGATCATAATTCGTGGTTGAAATCGATCAATCGCAACTATAGCACATCTCAAACTAACAGGCGATTGTTGGAAGTAAATTCCTGGATAGCCTTTCCCCTTTAATTAGTATTTCCTGAGTGATTAAGTCAGGGCGGGAATTAACTAATAGAGCGTTGATGAAATCACCATTTCATCAATCACCAAAATAGGTTGAATTTTCAGGATATCACAATTCTTCCCCCCTTACAGAAATTTTGTCCCCGAAATTTGAATTTACATCTAACTCTTCAAAAAGAAAGGGGTACTGACGCCTCATTATCTCTCTACTTTCCCAAGTGGCTCCTTTGGTTCCATGATATTGCCACACAACTTTGATTAGAGGAATCGTCTTGTTTCGTAGAACCTTCTCCTTCCGATCCTCGATTCTCACTAGTCTTTCCACGTATGATATTCTGTCGTCCACATCTATTTCTTCGTAATTCAGAACGTGAGTCGGATCCGGTTCATACTTCCTTAGCATTAACACATGGAATATGTCATGTACCTAAGCCAACCTTGGCGGCAAAGCTAGGCGATACGCCAAC